ACAAATGCCACTTATGCCATTATCTAGCTGTGGGGCCTTTGGCAGTCCAGTGACCTTACATGAAGTCCCAAGCTCATCTAAACATAAGGATAATACTACCAATCTTGCTGGATTGTCATAAAGATTCTCAGTAATCTATATGGCAGATTAACAAGACCTGGCACACAGCAGATATCCAACAAATAAAATCAGTTGCCGTCAAGTGAACTCAGGGCAGCCCCATGTATGTCAGAGTAGAACTGTGCTCCACAGGGCTTGCAGTCGCTAATTTTTTGAAAGTAGGTTGCCAAAGCCTTCCTCCGAGGCAACTCTGGGTAGACTCGAACCTCCAACCTTTAGGTTAGCAGCCAAGTGCCTTAACCATTTGTACCACCCAGGGGCTCTGCCCAATCAATAGCAGAAGGCCTAACACAATGCCTGGCAGGTATAGCTGGCACTAAATAAGTTTGTCACCTCTTCTTCACTCTGCTCCTTTTCTCTCTGTTGTGTCAGTTCAGGCCTCATCTTTCTCAGACACTATCACAAAAGCCTTGTAACTGATCATTATGCCTGTAACTGCATGTTCACCAATCCATTACATTTGTCCTAAAGCACACATTGGATCATATCAAACATTTATTTATCACCATTCAATGACTCTCTACCACCTACATGATAATATTACTCCTCAGCAAGAACACAAGGCCCTTCCCAAGCTTTCAGGTCTATCTCCTGCCAGTTCCCTCATTCTCATGCTCAAGCTACAACATGGTCTACTTCCCGTTTTGCAACTGCTCCTAACTCTCATGACTCCATGCCTATCTAAAATGCTCTTCTATCACTCACGGAGCCTACTCATTCATCAAAACGTAACTCAAGCATCATCTCCTCTTCAAAACCTTCCCTGACCCTAGCACTTTCTTTGGTATTCCAAAGGCCTTTCTGCATCATACATAACATTTCAAGAAATATATTCTAATTTTGCCCGAAAAGCAAATGACAGACCTTATGCTACTATTATTTTCAGTACCTAGCATAGCACCTATGCTCAAAACATGTTTATTTGATGACATTTTTTGTTTATGCTATAAGCTTAATATTGCTCCCACAAATATGAGCAATCTGGAGGATTGAAAAATGAAAGTGTCACTATAAAGTCTTTCAAGAAACTTTTTGAGATTCTTGTCTTCTTTTTGCCCAATTAATTCCAAAACATAAGTCACAAAGAGATATAAAAATGCTGTGAAGATTTATATAAATGCTTATATTGGAAGGCACGCCAGGTCCAATTTTCATTTAAAAAAAAAAAAGAAACCTCAATACTAATTATAAAATCTAAAGAAAATATCAAACATAAAGAGAATTTCTTTGACTGTGTTCTCATATTCAACAGATAAAAAAACAAAACCTGGCAAAAGCCGTCTTAGTTAATGATAAAATGCTGAGGTTGACTCATATCTTTCCTCTTGGAAAGATATGCTTAATCTTGGTTGAGCAGAACAAAAGCAGCAGAACCATTTTACTGGCTGTGCAGATTATTTTTCTTTGGGGAAAAAAAGGATTTAAAAAATTTACTTCCTACTTTCAAATGACTGTTAAGCCTTTTCCAAAATAAAACAGACTGTACAAAAAGACTGTACAAATTTACCTCCACCAATCATCATAAGGATTGACTTTCTATCTTATATAATCCCTAACTATTATCGCCAAAATGCTATAAATGTGCTTGCTAAATAATACAGAATCAAAAATATCAGTCTCGATATGTACTCGTTTAAAATCAAGTCAATTTCCATTAGACAAAGAAAACATACACTGTAGCATTTGGTATAAAAGAAGAGTACTAACTCAGCTCTTCTTAAAAAACGTTAGAACATGTGAACGTGTGTGGTTTTGTTTTTTTTTTTTAATTCCAAATATAACTCACTGTATTTAGCACCTCCTGTACTTTCAAGTATATTAGATAATTGCATACCAAGTTAAAAACAAAATAAAGGAAAACATTCCTGCCACCCACCCTTTACATAAAAGTAATGGAAATTATTAAATACACATACAAAGCACCTAATAAAGGTCAGTATGACTAGCCTCACAGAAAGCTATTTATTCTTAATTAAAAAAAAAAAAAACTTTGTTGGAAGATTCAGGAGACTTGCAGGGCGAGGGAGAGGGAACTGTGTGTTTTGGCGAGAAAGATGGGTTGGTCGTGGAATCATGTGGGTGACTTGGTAGCTCTGGGCCCCCAGCCCCCACATTAATCAGAGAAGCGCCGTTTTTTTGTGTATATACTGAGCTTCTGCAAAAGATTTTGTGTAAACAAAGTTATCCATAACTTAAAGTCTGAAAATCACTGAGAAACACTGATCAATAGTGGCATTCAATGGGTAATATTGACACTAACACCTAGTGATAAAAAACTAAACAGAAATATTCAATATGGAATAACCGTAATTCAGTAGTAAAATGTGAAGAAACAGTCAAGACTAACATCTGTAGTTATCTTTATGAATAAGTTTGGACTTTTTTGCTTTTGATTAGGGTTTTATTGGGTATATTGTTTGTTAAGGGAGGGGACAAGCAAGTTAAGTTTTGGCAACTTGGTTTTGGCAGGAAGACAGTAGATGGTTTTAGCAGGGAACTGGCTGTGAGCCCAAAACAAACGGCTTTGGCAGAGGAAGATATGATCAGGCTGAAAGATTCCATTTTGGGGTATGTTTAGGTGGATTGGAAAAAGGCCCACAAGATAATACCTAGGTGGGACATACCTATCATACTATGAGAACCTACACAAGACATTATATCCCTTCCCAAGGACACTTTTGATGCTTGGCACCTACCTCCTCCTATGTCTCCACTTCTAAGACAATTAATGTCATCCAAAATTAATCAGAAATCAGTGTTTAACTACAAGTAGTTTATGAAAACAGTCATTTCCTAAACAAATTAGACTATTTACAATGCCAGCCGTATTTTATGCGCTTTTTTTATTCCAATGAAAACACTACAGAACCAAAAGCTTCCTTGCCAGTGAATGGTTCCACAAAGCAAGGGGACTGCTAGGATGGACAAACCATTTTCTCTCTCTCTTTCCTCGGCCCATAGCATTACTGTTCAAAGTATGACAAGAGAAGGAAATAAAGTTTCAAAATCATCTAAGAATCCTATTAAATTTTTTTTTGTCATATCAAAACGCTTGTGTAGCTAATGAGATGATGGGCGATTTTCCTATTTGCCAAACTTTCTACAAGGTGGAACATTGTTTCTTAATGCATAAAGAATCACATTCTCTACCATAGTCTCTCCACATTAGGACTCACTAATTTCAAAAGATCAACATCAGAAGAAAAAACATTAATTAGCACTTGCATTTTGACAGCAAAGGATATGAGTACTCACTGATAAATACAATCCTTTCTATTTGGTTTAAAAAAAAACACAGTGACAAGACGAACAGTAATTTTAACTGCTTTAAGTTAGTAACATTTAGTTCCTAATATCTGCTGATACCCTTCTGAGGTTTTAGAAATAAAAATAATGCTAGTTTGTTCCAAACGTGGGGAAGCCAAGTGTTAATGCCATTCATAAATTCGCCAAACTTTGGTCCTTTAGTATTTATTATGTATTTGAGTTACTTAGTAAGATATTAAGAACCACAGTTGTAGCTTCTTCCCTATGGTAAAGCTATGGTGACAGAAAAGTAACTCTATACCCACAACAGAAAGCCGACAAGATATTGATGCCTGTGAGAAAAGAACAGGGACTCAGAGAGACTATCTACATATAAGAGTTTAATACAGACAGCCTTTTCTGTGCTATTTTCCATACTCGGTAGCAAACAAAAAGAATTCCAGTAGTTTATTTTCTCAAAATAAAGTATAATAACTATGTGTTCAAGTTATTTATAGAGCTCCTAAATTCCTCAAAAGAGCTAATATAAAACACGTATGGGTATAATAACAAAGTTTCTGTAAGACTCTAAAATGTCTTCTTGCTCTAATAATTCATGCTTAAAATACACTAACGTATGAGCTAGATGCTTCAAACCCTTTTTAGAATAAGTCAAGCTATAAATATAATTTTTATAATATTTATAACAGGTTTTGAAATTCTATACCTTCAACAAAATATCAAATTTTAATCTGACTATAACTTCTTCCTCTTAAAATACATAAATTTTGTTTATACCACATTTATATCATCAGCATAGCTACTAAATACACAACACCAGCAAGAATAATATTTGTATGTTTACATATATATATACACACACACACAGTTGTTGTTAGGTGTCACTGAGTCGCTTCCAACTCATAGTGATCCTACAGGACAGAGTAGAACTACCCTATAGGGTTTCCAAGGAGCAGCTGGTGGATTTGAACTGCTGATCTTTTGGTTAGCAGCTGAGCTCTTAACCACTACACCACCAGAGCTCTTACATACATACATATATTTTTTGAAAGTACTTCAGTTCATTCTAGAAAGTTTAGAAAATGAAATATGAAAGTAATCTATCTCCTCAAAGAGATAACCATGGGTTGGTGTTCTTTCTTTTTCTATTTTTTAAACCAAAATAAATCTGAGCTCATTCCTAACATGTATACAGTTTTAAATCCTGGTTTGTTTGTTTTTTAAGTGAATTATTTCTACATATCCCCTTTCTTAACATGCAAAGTATCAAGAGATGCAATTCACTGCTTTTACCACCTGAGGGCACCTCTAAAACCTTTAAACAACTTCTAGAAACAATTTCTACCCACTGCATCTTCTCTGGGCCTCAAGTCCTTGCCACAAAATTTGTTTCTGGAGCAGGATGAACACTACTAAGTAACTTCAAATGAATTATCGAATTATCCTTCCAGACTATATGTTTATTATCAACAAACAAGTCTACATTTCTGTAACAAGCAAGAGAAACCCAAGAACTCCTTCAAATATGTATACAATTTAAAATTTGGTCAAAAACATTAGCTTTAACATATACACGGCAGTTCAAGGATAAAAGGAAACCATGGATACCTTACCTGTTTCCTGTGAATTTAACACTTCTAAGGCATGCATCATGGCACTTGCGAAGACATTGGCATCCTCTTTGCTGCCAAAGTTGAGACCATACACCTGCCTAGCATCTCGCCACTGGTGGAAGGTCTGTGTAGCTTGATTGTACTTCAACCCTTTAGGAATGGCACAATTTATCACGACCTAAAAGACAGTAATGCTTTGTAAAGTCAAGCTAATAAATAGCAAAATCAAGGAAGAGTCAACAAATCATGAATATATTCATTGAAGCCTGCTCCTGATAAGATTCTGGCAAAAATGGCCAGAACAATTATTCAGGATAAAATCAGCTTGCAGAAAAGTGACAGAAGCTAAACTGTCTGATGATTAAAAGGTCTGACCTTAAAACAGTAAATGAGCAAATCAAAAGAAAATCTATATCCCTTATTAAACACGTTAACTTATTGTTGAAGTATTACAAATACAGAGAAGTATATAAAACGTAAGGTGTATCTTAGTGAATGTTCCCATATAGCTAATTTCCTGATTAAGAAATAAAACATTAACACTACAAGCCCCTCTCATAAATTCTTCCACCTCCCAAAACATCATAGTTAGTTTTTTGCCAGTCTTTGTATTCTAATTAAATGGCGTTACACAATATGTATTATAATGAGTCTGCTCTCCTTCCCTCAAAATTATGTTTATGAGAGTCATCCATTTACTGTATGTAGCTGTGATTTGTTCATTTTCATTTCACTATGGTATATTCCATTGTACACGAAACCGAAAATCAACTGCCGTTGAGTTGGTTCTGACTCATGGCAACCTCCTGTGTTTCAGAGTAGAACTGTGCTCCATAAGGTTTTCAATGGCTGTGATCTTTCAGAAGTAGACGGCCAGGCCTTTCTTCTGAGATGTCTCTAGGCGGACTTGAATCACCGTCCATTTGTTTAGTAACTGAGCACTTAACCATGTGCGTTATCCAGGGAATCCAATTCCATTGTGTAAATCATGTTTACTTAGCCACCATTCTCGTGTTAATGTACATATGGGTTATTTCCAGTTTGGGGCTATTACAAATAGTGACTCTATGAACATTCTACTACAGGACTTTCGGCATACACAAGCACAGATTTTTGTTGGGAATATGCCAAGGAATGGACTTGTCATGGCTATGCTTATGCTCAACTTTAGCAGATAACACCAAGTGGCTTTCCAAATTGGTCATTACCAATTTACACTTCCACAGCAATGTACGATCACCCCCATTACTCCACATACTATGCAATATTACCACTGGGACTGTCAGTCTTTATTTCAACAGTTCTGGTGGTATAAATACTACATTGTTACTTTAGTTTGCATTACCCTGATTAGTAAAGAATTTAGCACCTTTTTATATGTTTTATTGGCTATCTTTTGTGAATATCTGCTTAGATTAAATTTCTTGCTTATTTTTCTATTGAGTTGTCCTTTTTTTTCCTTATTATGTGTAGACTCCTTTAAATATTCTAGATGTGACCCTACTGTTGGTTACATGTGTTGCAGGTATCTTCTCCCATTCTGTGGCTTCTCTTTTCATTCTCTTAATGGTATCTTCTGATGAAGAGAAGTTTTTAAAATTTATTAAGTCCTAATTAGAAATCTTTTCATTTACAGTTAGTGCTTTTAATATCCTGTTTAAGAAATGTTTCTTAGTCCCAAGGTCATGAAAATATTATATCTCACAGAAGCTTTACCTTTCACATTTATATCTCTTATCCAACTGGAATTGATATTTCCATATGGTGTGAGATAAGGTTCAACTCTCACCCCTTCCAATATGGCTAACCAATTTATCCAGTACCATCTATTAATTGTGCTTCAAGTTTACCTTTTTCCGAAATCAAGTGTCCAAATGGACTCTATGTTGTTCTACTGCTCAATATGCCTATCTTTGAGCCAATATCACAATGTCTTATTTATTATAGCTTTACACCAAGTCTTGATAGCCACTGGAGTGCATATCCTCCCACTTTGGCTATTCTCCGTCCTCTATGTGTGGCTACAGTTATATATTCAGCTTGTGAACTAACACCAAAAAAAATTGTTGGCATTTTGACTGAGGTTGCACTGAAGCTAACACATCCATCTAGGGAGAAATGGTATCAAGGCTGTCTTCCAGTTCACGGATATCACATACTACCATTTATTTAGATCTTTTTAAATGTCTGATAGCTTTCTGTGTAGATGTCTTCAACATCTTTCATTAGATTTATTCTTAGGTATTTGATAATTTTTTCTTGCTACTGTAGATAGTATTTTTTAAATTTTATGTTCTAGCTCTTTGATGGCTGTACATAAAAAAGATTGATTTCTGTATAATGAGCATGTATCCAGAAACTTTGTTAAACTAATTTATTAATTCTAATAATTTACCTGCACATTTTTATTACACTAAATACATGAGCATGTCAGCTTCAAATGACAGCTTTATCCTCCTTTCTAATTCTTGCATATTTTATTTCTTTTTATTAGACTTATCGAAGACAAATATAAATCAGTACCTTTACCTCTTCCTCAAAAATACAAGGACCTTAGAATACCGTATCTCCAACAACATCCCCTTCTCCTATGTCCATCCCCAAATTCCTATGCTATTTTTAGCAGGTATTTTAATTCTACGTGTATTTTAAATGCCATAAAACAATAGTATTGTTAGTTTTATACAGTCAGTGTTAATTCAGGTATACCTAACATTTACCCTTTCTGTTGCTTTTCTTTCCTTCTGCTCTTCCAAGCTTCTGTAAGGATCATTTTTAATCTTGAAGAACACACTGTAGAATTTCTTTCAATGCACACTTTTGTCAGAAAATGTCTTTATTTCAGCTCCATTTTTGAAGAATATTTTTATTACGTATGGAATTTTAAGCTGTCATTTATTCTTTCAGTTCTTTGAAATCCACTGCCTTCTAGCTTTCGTTGTTTCTATTGAGAAGTTAGCTGACAGTTTATTGTTGCTCCTTTAAAGTCATCTTTTTATTTTTTTGCTAACTGCTCTTAAGATTTTTTCTTTATATTTAGTTAACAGTATGGTATTATATATGGTTTTCTTTGTATTATCTTGCTTAAGGTTTTCTAAGTTGGTGTTCTTTTATCACTTTTGGAAAATTCTTGTCCATTATCTCTCCAATTATAGTGTCCGCCTAATTCTCTCCTCTCCTTCTGGGACTCCAATTACTCATACATTATACTTTTTCACTGGATTCTCTGTGCCTCTTAAGCTCTTTTTTATAAGTCCATATTTTTTTTCTCTCTCAGGATCTCTTAACTTCAGTCTTAATATTTCCTTCTGGCCTATATTCTAGTTTACTAATTCTTAGCTGTTTCTAATCTGTTATAAAACCTATCCATCACTGAGTTGCTAATAGCAGTTATTTTTCAATTCTAGAATTTCCATTTGGTTCATTTTTCAAGTTTCAGTTTTTTGCTGAAATTCTCACTCTTATCTTTTATTTTTTTGGATATATTAAGGATTTTAAAGTCAATTTCTGATAACTTTATCAACTGGATTCCCTAATGAGTCTATTACTGTTCCTGTCATCTCCTAGTATGCCTGGTTATTATGATTTAGTGCCAGACATCGTGTGGGGAAATGCCGATGTTGTATTTTTCCAGAGAAGATTTACATTTGCTTATGGCAAGCAGCTAGGGAAACTAACAATTGCAAATCATCTCAATCCAAACAGTGACTGAAATGATTAGAGGCTGGGTTTCAGTCCTGTAAATGTCTAATTCCAAGTCAAACTACCTCCTAGGGGGTGGCATTTCTGGGTCCCAAATCATGGCCTGGGGGACTACCAAGACACTCTCCTCATTACCAAAACAAAAACAAAAAACAAACAAACCCATGGCATTGAGTCAATTCTGAACTGTCGACTTTTTGGTTAGCAGCCGAGCTCTTAACCACTCCATGACCAGGGCTCCCTCTGCTCATCAGCAAGCTCTAAACTCTAATTCATTTCTAGCAGAGTCCTGAGTCTGTCAATAGCTCTACTCAGCTTCTCAGTTCCCTCTTCCAGAACTGTCACATGCTTCTAGATAAACAGATATCCAAAAGGCTAGGCTCACCTCTCTGGCTCTTTCCTCTCCCAGACAGACAGTGGGCCCATAGTTATTCACTGCCACTTAAGTTCTCCAAATAGATTTAAAAAAAAAAAAATTGGTGGGGGGAGGGGACCATTTCAGTTGTTCTTAGTGGAAGTCTTTGTCTAAATTGGAGCCCTGGTGGCAGTGGCTGAGATCTACGGCTGCTAATCAAAATGTCAGCAGTTCAAATCCACCAGCCACTCCTTGGAAACCCTATGAGGCAGTTCTACTTTGTCCTATAGGGTTGCTATGAGTTGGTTTGGTTTTGTGTAAATCACCCAGTCCACCGATACCCAAACTTGATTTTTTTTTTTTTTTTAAATATAATGACCTCTCAAACTTGAGGAAGAAGCTACAAATCTTTAGCTACTAAAAACCCAAAGCTACTGGAGTTTAACATTATTAGAAAATTACAAAACTCATTTTAAGGCAAGTGTATCCCTGTTTGCCAAATAGCTTAAAAGGGCAAACGAGAAAATTTGCTTTTTCAATTATTTAGCCACAGAATTTTGGTAAAAAAGTTGAAGAAAATATTACTAGAATCAAAATGATAGTATTTACATGATTCCTTTTCTATGTGAGAAATTTTAAAATGTGAATCGATTATTTCATTCACTTCTAACATTATTGCCAATAAGCTCAAAAAGCTTTAAAAGTCATGAAGAAGCATATATTTTCATTTAATAATAACTACTTATGGGAATGTCCACATTATGAGGATTGGGTTTATCATAATCTTAAATTCTGTACTTCAAACCCAACGAGCTTATGTGGTCTACATTGTTGTGAGTTGCCATTAAGTCTATTCCAACTCATAGCGACCCCATGTGACAGAGTAGAATTCCCCAACAGGGCTTTTTTTGGCTCTAATCTTCATGGAAGCGGACTGCCAGGTCTTTCTCCTGCGGAGCCAACCGGGGAGGGGGGAGTGTTTGAACTGCCACCCTTTTGGTTAGCAGCCGAGCACTTAACCACCGCACCACCAGGGCCCCTTTATGCCTACATTAGCGGTGATGTTCTATCCTACACCAAACCTGTTGCCATCGAGTCAATTTCGATTCACAGCAACTCTATAGGACAGAGTAGAAGTGCCCCACAGGGCTTCCAAGGAGCAGCTGGCGGATTCGAACTGCCAACCTTTTGACTAGCAGCCATAGCTCTTAACCACTGTGCCACCAGGGCTCCCTATCCTATACATACCCATCTATTTTTTGCCCGATTATAATGAAGTAAACAGTGCAGTGAACACCTATTCTTCCATGTGACTTGGCTCAGGATATTACATTGTCTATGAAGTCTCCCGTCTTCTCAACAAAGTGACGATTTCTGCCTTCACTGTACTATTTAGATTTATCATAGTAATTGACACACTTTACTATACTTCTTTGCTTACATGTTTAGCATCTCCATTCTTACTGCATCTCTGGGGTCAGAAATTGTATTATCTAATATAAAACCTAAGCACAGTGCCTAGAACTTAATAAGTGTTAAGTAGAGAAGTGCAATATTTTAATATAATGTATGTTTCTACATGGAAGAAAGGTCTGGCAATCTACTTAAAGGACACAGCCATTGAGAACCCTATGGAGTGCAGTTCTACTGTGAAACATATGGGGTCACCAGGAGTTAGAATCGACTCAACAGCAGATGGTGATGGTTATATTTACACACTTTGTACACACTCAATTTTACAAATAAATGGTGGGTAATTTTTTTTAAACAGAAAGTTTAGATGTGTTTAATAATTTTCTTCTCTCCTTCTATGTTTTAGATATCAAAATGATAGGGGTCGCTATGAGTCAGCATCGACTCAACATTTCCTAACGACGGCACCCAACAACAACATAACATACTATTCTCTATAATAGTTTGCACAAAACAGGTAATATGTTGAAGGCTTTTAGATTTTGTTTGTAAATGCTCTGAACCCCTGCGCCCCTTTGCTTAAGTTTTAGGGATAGATTATTAACAATTGATTTATTTTATGATTGTAGATCTATTTTATTTTATTATTTATCCTGTTTATGTTGATGGTCAGTTGTCCACTATTTGGCCAAAAGGAGACACTTCAAGCTGAGTCCTTGTCCTCTTCACACGCTCCTATCTTATTTGAGTACTTA